GAGTTAAAAGCAGATGATTGTAGGAAGTTTTGTTAATAATTCATTGATGTTGAGAATATCGAACGTCACGTGTAATATATTAACGTCGAGAATATAGAAGTCGAACAGACGATTAGGTAATAAAGATATAAATAACGTGAGACCAGCTGGAACAGCAGACAGTAGCAGACAGATAATAGCAAAAGAGTATAAAGTTGGTATGAAGAGTTAACCACTGTAGAAGTGATAGGCCACACATTTAATATGTTAGAGTGAAGCTAACAGTAGAAAAGAAGAAAAGAAAAATAATTTTATTCAGTCAAAGTGTGGTTATAAAGTAATTGAATCGGCCTGAGTGCAATTTGACAAAAGGTACAGAGGATTTTCAAAAGAAAGAAGACCAAACGATTACGGTCACTCGCGCCACAATTGTAAGTGAATTACAGAGAATACTAGTGGATAGAAATACAGAAGATAGTTCAGCTTGTCAACTGAAATTCGAAAGTAACTGAATAGGCCTAAGTGGATATTTGACAAGAAGGAGAGAATAATCTATATACTATTTATGATATGTCCATAATATCTATAGTGTTAAAGAATTTATAGTACATACGTTAACTTGTTCTGAATATATATATCATTTTGAAAACAAGTGAAGTGGTGCTCTTTATTCATTGTTGAATTTATCGCTAAAGGTCACAGACACCTACTGCAGAAGAATCCTAAGCTCAACAACAACATAGTATAAATTTATATTATTGAGAAATATAACTAAAAGCCTTTCTATTTGAAAATTGGCAAAAAGGAAAGTTATATTATTTTAAATCCTGACACTTTGCAATTCGTTTTCCAGATGCTTCATTCTGTCACCGATGTTCTTTTATATCACAGTGATGTTCTACCTCAATAATTTTTTTCGATATCATTAATGTTTTTTTTGTACTTCTTCAATTTTATCATTGCAGTTTTTGATATGTAAATAAACACATAACTCACCAAGTAACTGAAAGCAGAATAGACGTGATAATTCTCACTTCTCAATTGAATCACTCACTAAATACTGCACTTAATTTTCATTCTCAATAAATCTTCACACATTGATTATTGGTATTTATAATATACTCTTGTTTCTACAAATTCCATGAATTTCCTCACTTAAAACCCCATTTAATACATAATATGGAACAGGAAAACATATTTGGTCTACACTATTACCACTACTGCTATGGCATATGTTACTACAGGCCAGTGCAGTACCTTCTTGAACTACTTCACATATGTCACTACCAAATCCAGTTCCAGAATTTAGCTGGTCAATTTAACATCATCACTTAATTGAGAAATCAGTGGACTGTGATGTAAAAGTACCAAGGAGGCATATCAAGATCAGTGTGAAATAATATCCAAAGTGAACAGGTAGAATAGCAAACAACAAGCTATTAATCTTTCTACCCATTTAAAAAGACCATCTTTTGTGGCATTAAGTAACCTTCCAGCTGAGGGCAGTAATAATTATCAAGCATTGGTAGCTACCTTATCCAATAGGTTCGGAGTGACATACCAGGAGGAAGTATTCAGAGCAAAGTCCTAGAACAGTGTATGGAGGAAAGAAGATACATCAGCTAAACTTGTAGAACATTTGGAAAGGCTCGCCCATTTATCTTCATGAACTTTTTAGATTTAGCATCATCATCATGATTAGCATCTTCTTCCGAACAAACAACTAAATTACAACATTGAAAATATAAGTTACCACAATACTGTTAAAAATGCACAATTTTTACGATGCCCCGCTGGCTCACCGCAGAATTTCCCGATATATCGACAGGCTAATCCGCCCTTTGCCTAACTTCATAAATAACGCTAAACAGTCACTTACTTGCTAATTTTCTGGATGTACGTTACTTCTCGTATTTCAATTTCTTCGTCGAAACAGGAATTCAAAATTCAAGAAATCGAAGAAATAGTTTGTTTGTTTGTTATGGATTTCGCGCAAAGCTACACGAGGGCTATCTGCGCGAGCCGTCCCTAATTTAGCAGTGTAAGACTAGAGGGAAGGCAGCTAATCATCACCACCCACCGCCAACTCTTGGGCTACTCTTTCACCAACGAATAGTGGGATTGATCGTCACATTATAACGCCCCCACGGCTAAAAGGGGCGAGCATGTTTGGTGTGATGGGGATTCGAACCCGCGACCCGCAGATTGCGAGTCGAGCGCCCTAACCACCTGGCCATGCCGGGCCGAAGTAATAGGTAACCCGAATAACAAACTCGCTAACTTTACAATTAGTCAACTCTGAAACATTCTCACTAAGCACTCAACAATCTCTTCTAGTATTGCTTAATTCGTATTTTATGTCGTTCAAATCATTTGCTAAATTTGAAAGATTATTCTAAACTTTAGCTTAACGACTAGAGTTTAGTCGTTAAGCTACACGTTTATTATGTGACGTAAAACTTCCTTTAGCCATAAACTTTACAAACCTCTAAATTAAAACAATAAGAAAAGCAAAACATGGTTTACAACAATATCTTTAAAATGAGTGTATAACCATGGCGTTAACATTTTCTTATTGAGTTAATTATCGTATTTGTATAAGAAGGTGTAGCCAATTTAAAATTAGAAGTTAGTTGGAAAACTAATGTTAACTTAGTTTAGCCTAGTGGACCTATTTTTAAAATTGTATATATTTCTTCACTAGTTTGTATTAATTAATAAATATATATATTACATAATAAGTTAAGAACAGTTCTGGGACCACAGTTACTGGCTTTTGAGTGTAGCAGTACTGCTTGGTTTCGGTGTAGAGTAGGTTGCTTTTGTCGTCATTTGTGGTTATGTCATGCTTATCTTAGGCATAACGTTAGTACAGGTAGTACATGTATAATGCCATTAATAAATAGTAACTCATAATAGTAATTAGTACTAATTTTGTGTTAGCCCTACAGCCTTAATCATATCCAAAATATCTTACTTACCTTTCCTTTATAACAATTTAATGTAAGTTGTAATATAAAACTAATTACCGTGAATTAGTTTTCCTTCAACTTTCAAGTTCATACTTGCAAGTTGTATTATTGTAATTTGTAACAAAGTAAGCTGTAAGTGTTACAGTGTAAGCAATTTGTAGGCGTGCTTGAATATTTCTTAAACCATTTTTTTTATGATTTGTATACGAAGTTTTCCTCCAGAAAACGTAATTTAAAATGCATACCATATACGTTAGGTAGGATTATTTTAATAAGAAAAATCTGCCATGCATTTCTACCATTTGTATCTTTGGGTTTTACATCTACTATTCATCTATGTGTTTATACCAGATTCAAATACAAAATCTCCTTATTTTTGCACTATACAACTGTAACTTATACCTATTGAATGTCCCAAAAATCATTTCATACTTGTATACGACTTATTACTATTAGTGTATTATTAGACAACATAACAAAAAACTGATAGTGGTATTTTGCAAAAGTTGCAGAATTATATTGAGATATCTCTATTATATGAATATTATGTGTACTTTAGGACTAATTTGTAAGTATTATTAATTCACCACTAATAACAGTACACTTGCATTTTGTTTCGGATGCATAAACATCTTGCACTCTGCACAAAGAGTAACTCGGTATTAGTAGAAGAGAGACCTGAGCATATTGGATGTTACTTTTAGTCAGTTAGATCCAGAGTTAGGGATGTTTATCATCCTGATATTTTTGTTTATCTCTAGATCAAATAGCCTACAAGTTAAAACTAAATAATTGATACTTTTCAAAGATGCTGATCGGAGATTCGTGCGTGTCCTCTACTGGTGAGGGTAGTTTTATTTGTAGTACTAATATCTGAAACAACATTTCTTTCATCGTATCAGACTTTATTATAAATTTTATACTATTATAATAATAATGATTTTGTAGACAAGAAAGAAATACAGCTGTAACTGTCAGGTATATGTTGAAATGTTAAAAGTAAGATCAAATTGTTAGACAAATTGAATTGTAGTGTATTTTTAACTTCACAGTCTCTGTGTTAATGGCAAAGTGTTACTGTTTAAATGAGCAAGACATCTGAAAAATTTAAATGTGATTTCACTTTATTTTCCAGAGTTAATCATGACTTCCCATTATTATACTTTTAATATCACACTACATATGTCCTGATTTTAAGGGATATTTATAAGAACATGTTTGCATATTTTTTGTCAGGCACAATATTACTTAGCAGTAAATTATGTGTTTAGGCTTCTTACCATAGATTTGATTTATTTTCTTTTGGTTATGTTAGGGGCCAGTTATACATATATCTTATGTCAACATTGAAACAAATTTAATTTGGCAACAGTCAGTGAACTTTCTAATTTTGGAAATAAAGTATTCCATGTTATATTTTGAATGTTGGAAAATTGTGTAGTCTACAGGTTTTACTACAATGAGTAATAAACTTGTATCTAGATTTATATCAAGGGTATTTAAATGTGTATGCATATTTGTTTAAAAGGTGTTATTAAGGTTCTTGTGTTACAGGTAGTAACAAAATATATTCTTATTCAACTCTTTATTTTTTTTTTTACCTTTTAGGTAACTTATAAATGGTTAAAGAAAACACTATGCAGAAACGACAAGAATTAAGGCAGATTGCTAAATCAAGTAGTGGAACAAGGGCAGTACATAGTCAGTCAAGACCACCCACTTCTGGAAGTTCAGGAGTGTTGATGGTTGGACCCAATTTTAAAGTTGGGAGAAAAATAGGATGTGGTAATTTTGGAGAACTAAGATTAGGTTAGTAATTTAATTATTTATACACTTTTATAATTTTTATACATTGTATCAAATACATTTACAAAACTAGTAAAGGTTAGAAGAGTATGTCACATCTTGACATCAAATGTTAATTAGTTGTGAACTATCATAATAATTATAAAGCAAAAATGTATAAATTTAATTGACATTTGTTCAGTATTTTGAAAGTACTGATAGTTTTTTTCCATGAGCTCCTGATTTCAGCCTGAATTGAGAGATTTTTAAGTTTGAAATAATACCACAATCTTACGGAACACTTTTTAAAGGTTACACATTATTTTAGCACATTAGATAATTGTAATTTTTATGATTTCAACTAGAGTACATTTCCAAATTTAATAAATCCTTCCTCTAATTTCAACAGTTATTATTAATAGAGGCTAACCAAACTGAACAGTTGAACATGATGTTTAGGAACCCTATTGAAGCTAATAAGTTGTAGAGACAACTGATATGGATACTACTATCTTATCACATCAGTAACTTACTCGTAGCTTAATTTCATAGTTACTGTCTCTATTTTGAGTCAATAATATCATACCAAACTATCAGTGGTGTTCACAAGTCAAAAAATGTGTTTTAAATTTGAATGGCTTGTTTTTTTCAAATCTTATTCCTTTTCTGCTGATGACCTAAAAAAAGATCAAAACATTATTATATTTGTGTTTTCTAGTAAAAAGTCCATATTACTCGTATCAATCCTCTTTACAGTTTATAAGCTGTACCTTTGTTACTAGTTTTATGCCTCAGGGGTCAGTGATTTGGCCTTTGCTGTTATTTAAATGAATGATATTGATAGAAGCACAATTAATAAATTAGTAAAGCTTGCTGATGATGTTAAAAGTATTGGGTATTTCTAGCTGTATTGAGGATGTTGAATTATTACAGGATGATTTGTATCAATTGGTAAGTTGGAGAAGTATTTGGCAAATAACCTTTAATTATAATAAATATAAGGTAATGCATTTGGATTATTATAATTCAGAAGACATTTAATATAGTTGGGAACTCACTTATCAGTATGACTGAAGAAGAGGATATTAGTATAATGGTGGATACGTCATTCAAGCCATTGAAGCAGTGCTCTGTTACTTAAGGCCTCAACCTTTTGAAGGCACTAGCAAATGATTATTAGTTTGTTATTTTGCCACTAGGAGACTTGGAAGTGCTACCAGCAACAGCGTTATTCTAAAATTATCTGTAAATGTATCATAATTAATTATTTCATGTATTAAATGTTAATAGATATATATGTCCTATTTGTATGTTTATATCATCTGTCATTTTTTCTTTTTTTTTTTTCAAATTAAATGTCAAACTTATTTTGTTTCTCCTGTGAAATAGTTAAAAGATGCTTGTTTTGGGCAGAAATTGTTGTATCTAAGCCACAAGCACCCTATACTAAAACTATTTTATTATTAAAAGTTGAAGCTGAGAAAGAAAACATAACCTTTGTTACATATATAAAAAGTATTAAAACATTTCTATTGAATTTTTTAAAAGGTACAGTTTACAAGAGGGTCAATATGTTTACAGAGAAATTTTGTCCAGGAACACTTATTTATACAGCTATGCTAGTTTGTTTTCTTCACATTTCAGTGAAAAAACATTCCAACTGTCACTTTGGTTTTATATAATTTATATGCATGATGGGACATCCAACACATATTGAAGGATGATTGGATAACAAATGTTCACAACAGTTGCCTTTTCTACCTTTATTTCCAGCTGAACAAAAGATGATGTAATACTGAAGCTGCACTCTTCATTCTAATTTTGTGATTGGTCAGAATTGGGATTCTTATTTACAAGAAGTGTCTTGCATTATGTATCGGAAACTACCGATTACGTGGTCAACTACACTGTTAATAAAAACAACCATTGGCACCTGCTGAAATGGAACAGATAAAACCTGCTTGTTGTTAGGTGACTTTGCAAAGCAATCCACAAATGCATGCACAGAATGGTGAACTAACATTAAAATCTTACAAATAATGGGACAAGATAGCCAAGTGTAATGTTAAAACAAATGATAGGCTTTGTACAGATAAATCTTTATTTGTATTAAGGATAAAACTGCCCCCCCCCCCTGCAGTGTGGGAAAAAATAACCACTTGGGCACAGAATTTCTAAACACACTCTTGGTACTGGCCAAAATCTCAATATAGAGGCCATATTGTACGAGTTGAACCAGCTGGTTCACATCCCGATTACAATGCCACCCAATTATATGAGCTTTAGCCTCTCTATCCCCATTTCCTGAGTCTTACCTAGTCTGGGTATGCCATGCATCTCAAATGGAGATCATTAAACTAGCATGTAAAATGATCTTATCAATCACAGTTATAATAATCTTCTGTATTTTGTATCTTGCAACATAAATGACTGAAATGCATGTATTATTTGTTTATTGATACTTGAAAATGAGAATAAATTTTTGAGTTTCTCTTCTGAAATTTCTACTAGTAATTGTTTTTCTACTACCTTTCAAGTTTTACTAGCAAAACTGAAATATTAACCAACAATTTGTTAGTTTTATATTTCAAGCCCTGAAGCAAATAGTAAAATTAATATAATTGTAGGGTGTATTTATCAACATATTGAGTAGAAGTTAAAAGAGGTGATTATATTGCTAAACAAATCACTAGTTAAGCCTTCCTTAGAATATTGCATAAAGTTTTGATCTTATTTAAGAAATGAATTGTTGCAAATGGTTCAGATTATTATTAATATGATTCCAGGGATGGTAGGGCTATCTTACAGGGATAGGTAAGATCTCTTGAGATATAAGGGTAAAGGTTGATGTTATTAAAGCTTAAAAGATTATCCAGGGAATCAATAGGATATAAGCTTCCAGTTTCTTTGTACTGTATTCTGAAAATTGTAGAATGGAAGGCCACAAGTTTAAGATTGAGCTAGACTCCAGTTACAACTTTTATTTTTGCTAATTGGATGATTAACATATGGAATGAGTTGCTGTTGGCAGTTGTGGAAGCTAGCACTTTACAGGAGTTTAAGAGGGGAATTGAGGGTTTCCTGAAAAATTAAAGGTCAGTTTAAATTTCTACCTTTCTCAAGGATTGGTGTAAAGGAAAACTTGAAGGACCAAATGGTCCCTGTAAGCTATATATTAAAAACCCATAATGTAGTAAAAAACAATTTTCAGTTTTTATGTATTTTGTGGGTTTAGAATTTTAAAGCTATGTATATAAAAACCAAATTAAAGCTTTGAACATGATAACTTTAGTAGTAGCAGATTAACAAACTTGTTTATATGTATACATAAATTGATATTTTATTTTTCAGGAAAAAATCTGTACAACAATGAGCATGTTGCAATAAAATTGGTAAGTTATCTTTTTCTATAAGTTAATTTAAAATCAATAGTTAAATAATAGATAATTTTATTAAAATAGTTGTTACATGAAGGACAATTTCAAGTATAAGGTGTTTATACATTTTTGTTTCAGTTCAGTTTCATTGTTTGCTTAAATATATTTTTATATTTATTAATCAAGTTATTATTCACATGTGATTCATGTTAAAAAAGTATTAGGTCGTTAAGAAATTAATGTCGCATTTTGGAACACTTTCGTTAACCACTTCCAAAGAAATGTACATCACATATAATAGTTAAACGAATCACCTAAACGTCACATTAGTGTAGCCTATATAATGTGTAAAGTTTAGTATTCTCTAAATACTTATAGTGATGGCACATGACGAGACACACATTCGGCAGGTAATGCTGTTTGAATACAAGAAGGGAAACAATGCCTCTGTAGCTATAAAGGATATCAAAGAAGTTTATGGAAATGTTTTGAATGTTCATAAGTGTCAATGATGGTTCAGCAAATTTCATTCAGGTAATGAAAAAACTGTGATGGAAGGGGCCAACATGTTGGAATTAATATTATTGCTCTAAAGACACTTGTTGAGTCTAACCCAAGGCAACACACACATCAAATGGTCTTGAAATTGTGTGTATCTTATGAAACAGTACATAAACACCTAAGGAATATGGGAAAACTCCATGAAGAAGGTGTTTGGATGCCTCACAAACTCTCCAATGATCATCATTTCCAACATGTGAACGTTGCTTTGTCTCTTATGGCTCGTAATGCGTGTGAACCATTTTGGACAGAATTGTCACGGGTGATGAAAAATGGATTCGCTAAGCGAATATTAAACACCCAAAACAATGGCTCAGTCCTCGACAAAAACCACTTCTGACCCCAAAACCTAGACTCCATCTGCAGAAAGTGATGCTTTGCATTTGGTGGGACATCAAAGGAGTAATTCATTTTGAACTCCTCAATCCACAGTGAACTGTCAATGCAGAGATCTATAGTCAGCAACTGGAATGTTCAAATCAAGCCCTTCATCAAAAACGTCCTTCACTCGTCAATCAGAAAGGTGTTCTTCTCGCTGCAACACCATCTTAATGGAAAACATATGCAAATGTGGAAGGTGTTAAAGAAAACATCGACATGTTTTTTGCTTCAAAGCC